ACCCCTAATATAATTTTTGGTATGTGTAATATTTGGGTCATTCGAAGAAGAAATGTAATGTATCTTTATAATAAAAAAATTCCATCTTGATCAACTTTTTCACTGTCAAGGTTTGTGGATATGATGTCATTAGGTGAATTGCAAATTAGTTTTCCTTTGTTTTTTTTTGCACCAAAAATTCACCTAATGACATCATTTCTGGAAACTTTGACAGTGAAAAAGTCGATCAAAATAGGATTTTTTCCTATAAAGATAAATTACATTTTTTCTCAGAATGACCCAAATATTACACCTAGCAAAAATTATATTTGGGGTTAGTCGCACTTTAAAGCCTGTGTCTTGGTTAGATAGCAAAGGTGTTGTACCTTCCGGAAGTATGTATTGTGGGATCTTATCAAGTTTTAATAATTTAGTGTCAGGTGCCAAGTTATTTATGCATCTGCTGTTTCTCAATTCATTCCTCCATTAACCCTGTAATGTGATGCACCCTACTTTATTATTTTACTCTACCTAACGCCAGACAATTTCACTCATCAAGGGAAGAGTGGGTTAATGATTATTTCATTGTTTCCAGGGTCATGTCAAGGTGAGCCATCAGATCTACCTGATGAGAAACGCAAGACCTATGACCTTGAAGACCTCTCAAACACCCTAGAAACTGCATCGGCAGCAGGCGTACCCATAGCCGATACCCTCCGAACAATTGCTGACCCTTCGGGCTTACCCGCACCCGGTACAGACGAAGTCTTCGAGACACCAAAACCACAAGATCTTGAAAGCCCAAAACCCCAACCGAAGAGAAAGCCACCGCCAAAGCCGAAAAGGACTTTCAGTAACTCAAGTAAACCCGAAATTAAGTTTGTCTCAGATTCATTTGTGATCGAGTATTATACTTCACCACATAAACGAAGCCAGTCTGATAGTGCGGTACAAGGTGGAATATCTAAGATCCAGGAGAATTATGTTGAAAGCCAGGAGAAGTATTCTGACAAAGCACAAGAAAAATACAACAACAAGCCCGAGGAGAATTATTATATCAACCAAAGTACTGTAGATGATACTCTTGATGGAAAGTCAGTTTCACCCTCAAATAAAAGCCATTCTGGTAAGGGTAAGGGTGAAATACAAGGCAACAGGGTTCAATCACCACAGTTCAGAAATGCCGAAGGTAAAAAACCGACCACGAAAGTTGTCAGTGATTTGGACAGTTTGCTCTTGAAGTTAGCTGCCGAAGTTCACAAACCTACAAATGTGGATTCTTCTAACATTGGAATAAATGTCGAACCTAGTTCAAATAGACCCACGACTGATGTACTTTCCAACACGAAACCCGAGCTTTCGAGCACGAAAGCTGACTTTTCCAACACGAAACCGGAAAATTTGGGCACGAAAACGGACCTTTCCGACACGAAACGGGAGAATTTGAGCACGACAACGGACCTTACCGACACGAAACAGGAGAAATCGAGCACGAAACCTAACATTTTGAACACGAATCCCGACTTTTCGAGCACGAAACTGGATGATGAAGGTTACTGCTCGCTATCACGGAAACCGGGTACACGTTCACTGGAGTCAGAACACGAGAGCCAACTAAGTTCGGATGATTTATTCAAGAAAGAAAAACTTTCCTTCGAAAAAAACGTGGACATTAGAGAAGAATACAGCAACGTGGAAATAATTCGCTCCTATGATAATAATGGTCGTGAAAGCCAGGAGGGTGTCATAGAGTTGACGGCTGAAGAAGATACGAAGGATCAAATTCCTGACTCAGGTGAATTTAATGAGAGGAAGGCATTTCCTAAAGGTTTTGTCTTTTATAACATTTGAAACTAAATGATAAAGACTTGCATAAGCATTAACCATCATCATAGGTGCATATGAAACTTCTTGTTTCACCACGATTTCACCAAGTACAAACCTGTGTCGAGATTTTCCGTCGGTGGGTAGTCTAGGTTTCACCAAGCACTATCGTGCTGCAGATGGGGGTCAACCTGTAGTTATCAGAGTGAGAAAATAATGTTCATTCTTTTCATTATATGCAGTAGTCTTGTATTTGGCGGCAAATAATAGAATAGACAGTTCCCATTATAGACTATTTTTTTATCTTGGCAAAAAGAAGTATATTCTCGGAAAGAGCATACTAAAATGAGTAAAATTGCAAAGTCTGGTCGCGAAATGTTGTAAAATGCGGAAAATATAGCCTTGCAAAGTTCGCACATTTTGTATACTTTTGTATTGCGTGCGGAAATTGCTACCACATTTGGGCCGAAAATACACCCTTTTCATAAATGGCTGTCGATTAAAAATTCTTTTATGTGCATATTAATTGGCCCAACTAGCCTCGTACTCATGTTAACATTTCAAAGGAATTTCTACCCAGAAACGAGGCTAGTTGGGCCAATTTATATGCACATGAAAGAATTTTTAATCGGCAGCCATTTATGAAAAGGGTGTATAGCTGTGGTGATTTATTTGCATCTCCTTGCCTAGTTTTAAAATTAGTTTATAATGGGAATTCTCTATTGAGAGATGATGTTGATCACGAACTGCTGCTCTAATAATGCTTATGGAACCATAAAGGCCGTAGTTTTCTTCACGTGTTAATTTAAGTCAACTTGAGATGACATAAAATACTTGAGATGAAGTAATGTAAATTTAACATTAAATTTTGTCGTTATAATTTGTGAAATGACTGTATTTGTGTAAAAACCTAAAAAACATATTTAACATTTAATTATTGACTAATTTGTTGATCTAATTAATAATTAACGTAATCTATGTTAATGAACTAAATAATGCCTTAATATAATAACCAAAAATATCGATTCATATAGTCAAACGTAGCTGGGTCAAAAACAACTTTAAACACAAAAACAGGATTTTAATTCTATCTTGCAAATATTTGGTAAACACTTCTGTCTTCCGAAAGCATAATTAGCATTGCATGGGAATATGGCGGGCTAAGCTCCTTCCAGACACCGCTAAATTATTTCATCAAATCTAGTTCCGTTCGGCAGTGAAATATATGCGACCTGCCGGCTACCACATGCTTTAATTTAATTAAGTCCTTATACATTGCATGCTTTCTCACAGAGCCCATATCACGCTCTTCTCACATGAGCTTCCTGCAAATTCATCTACCTCAGCAGACAATTAAATGACGCGGATGTAAATCCTCTTATGTTTTTCGCGTGACCACTTCTATTTTTGCAGTTTAACACACTAGATAGTGCATCTAATTTTTCTACAATTCAAAAATTGAAGCCGTGATTGCAGGCTCAGGATATTCCCATGAAATGAGAAGACTCATATGTTTTCTATTTCTTAAACAGTGAACTTAAACATTAAGTTAAACCTACTCCAAATACATTTTCAAACTATTCAAATGATGAAAGTTATTGTTGTTTTTTTAAGCGTTTATTAGCGAGTGGGAAACTCCAACATGGCCGCCATCCATTCAAATGGGGGTAACCATTGGAATATTCTTGGCTTCAATTTTACTAAAAGAGATGCACTATCTAGTATATATAAGATATTTATGAGTTTAACCCATTAAACTGCATTCCACGCCCAAATGTGCCCTACTTTATTATTTTACTCTGTCTGACGCCAGACTGTTTACTTTTAAGGGGACAGTTTTTGCGCTTTAATGCGCTACCCCCTGAACACATAAACATAGTTATACATGCATAGATATCACTTTTGCTATTTACTATCCATTTACTGCAGACAAAATGTTATTAATTATTAAGAACAGTAATTTATGCCATCCGATAATCACGCTTCCTTAATTTTCAAAAGGTCCACAGAACATTGCATATTTAACAGTAGTAATATATGTAAGTTTGATAAATTTTCGAAAAAATATAATTACATCGAAGCATCATAAGCTTGTTAATAATTGATAAAAAGTGTCTGGCCGTAATGTTTTAAAGTGGCTTTTGGATGTTCGCGTAGTTTTCGAAATTGCTGTATTATTTGCGCGAATAATAACGGTTTCTACGAGTTTTTACTATGAATGTGTTATCGTATCAATATTGATATTCCCCTTAAAACTGGTTTACATTATGAAAGTTTCTGCGATGACAGTGTATGAATTTTGCATAGATAAGTTTCGAAGGATTTGTAAGAAATGTTTGTGGGACAGTTCCAATACTGAGTCAGTTCTTGTAAACATTTCTTACAAATCCTTCAAAACTTAAAATTTACCTATGCAAAATTCCTACTGTGATCACAGAAACTTTGATAGTGTAAACCATCCTTTAAAATGACTCTTGAGTGTTAGAACTGCGAGTTTTTCCAGGTTTTGTGACTTATCATTTTAATTTTGATCATAAATTATTCCTTACCCTCAATCCTAGAGCACTAATTCTTAATAATCCTAGCACTAAACCTAACCGTAATCTCAATCCCAACATAATCTTAATCTCAAATGTTCTCCTTCAGATTCCAGCGATTCACCCAAAGCAGACCCCGTGTCACGTGAGCTGAACCTACTGCGTCTGCGATTGGCTGAGAAACAACGCGATATCGAGGCTCAGAAACAGCGCACCAAAGAACAACAGGAGGAGGAGAGGAAAAGATTTGGACAGAATGTGTTTTGGTTGGCCGTTGGCAAGGGTCGAGAGAGGAAGGACGGGAGTGAGGTGAGATTTTATCTAAACTACATTAAGTGGCCCTCTATTTAACAGCCCCTCTTTAGAGAAGCAGTAATTGATCCAGTGTTACTACAGGAGGAAACCTAAACTAAACTAACTTTATTTTTGCTGGCTAGTTCTATCAGTTCTAAACTGTTCTTCCTAGAGGTCCAGTAAGGATCATCTCTTATTGGTCCAGTGTTACTACGGGAGGAAACCTAAACTAACTTTATTTATGTTGGATAGCTCTATCTGTTCTAAACTGTTCTCCCTAGAGGTCCAGTAAGAATCATCTCTTATTGATCCAGTGTTTATACTACAGAAGGAAACCTAAACTAAACTAACTTTATTTATACTGGATAGCTCTATCAGTTCTAACTTCCTGGAGGTCCAGTCAGGGCAATTCTTTGTTGGTCTAGCATTACTACAGGAGAACACCAGTGCTGTTTGGCAGAGTCAAATTGTTAGCACTCTTCTGACATGCAACTGACATTAAATTATAATCCGACAATGCATATTACAGGAACTGAACTCCAATCACAGAGGTGAATGGTGCATGAAGCAACCATTGTACCTCCAACACCTCAGGAATGAAAGCTGGTGAGAACTTTCATAGAATATATGAAATAGACAGTTGATTTAATTGCTAGTACATTTATTTTAGACAAGTACGACCACAAAAGCCTCCCACCAAACAAACTTCAAGCAGCACTTGACAACCAACCAATTTGGCAATGCATCGAACCAGGAACCTTCGAATAACAATAAATTTGCAACCTTTACCAAACAGTCCTCGTTAGATGAAGATTTGCCACCTTCTATGGGAAAACTACAGGACAGGACTTATAATAAATTAATTCCTGAGGAGAAAGAACCATTACCCAATCAATACCAGATCTGTTCGGTCGAAGATCGGAAACTGTCGGTGGATGATCGGAACCCATCGGAAGACACTGTACAGTTTCGCCTGTCCCGCCAAGCACCTGGAGCCCAAGATGTTTTATTGAATAATGAGAAATCACTGAACTCAGAAATTCAGACTCCTGAGAAAGCAAAAACGCCCGTTTTGAATTACAAAAGTAGGATAAATGTACCGGTTAGTTTTCAAACCAAACCAATTTCGGAGAATTGTCTGGATGCTGTTAGTTTTCAAAATTCTGAGAATATTGTTGATGGATATAAGCTGGGAAATTTTCACGAATTCGACCCTAATTCCAAGAATGAAGCGAAGCCTCCAACATCACCGCAACGAAAATGTTGGGACACAGAGACGGTTGTTAACAGCGAGCCTTGTATAGCTGTATCTGAATCAAACTACCATATATTTGACGAGAATAATGGTAGGGTGGCTAGGAACTCAGAGACGACTGGAACCCTGGACATTGAAATGAATAAGGATGGTCGAGTCATGGAAGCAATGAACTATATGCAAGGTGGTTCTGACAGTCCAGGCCAGACTGGGGATGGTGTTTATTTAGAGATGGAGAGTGTGAAGAAAAGTCCTGATGAAGGCGATGCGAACCTGAATTCCTCACCTGTTGAAGAGGATTGTGACACGCCCAAGAAGGGACTTGCTTTGTTCATTGGACAGGAAAATACTGTCAGTAATAATGATGTAAGTATTTACAATGATTTCAAAAATTTTACCCTTAACTAATTTTTTTTTTCTGCTCTACAGTCTACAGTCTACCAGTTCGCTCTAGAGGTTATTAAGAGTATCTCGTATTAACTCTTCATTAAGTGGCAATGTGCTCTAATGCACCCTACTTATTATTTTACGATATTATTTTCCAGAGCGCTGGCTCCCAATGGATCAATCCATTATTCTTGGATTGTTTGATAGAGTAAAAGTAGAAGCACTCTTTTCTATGTCACTTAATTTTCCAGGTTTTCAAACAATGAAGTCTTGACCCAAAAGTATCCCACAAAGGCCAGAATACACTGTGCATTCCAGAAGTCCTCTGTATTAAAGTCCTCTGTATTTATTGTGTGACCTAAGTATTACTTCTAAGGTCCATTAAGATAAAATTATAATCATTCATATTGCAGGAATCAATCCTTGTTCTAAGCAGTGAAGCCACGCCCAATGGTGCAATCGGCGTCGCAACTACTACCCGTATAACCCTTCTACCATTATATTTCATTGTTATAATTTTACTTGTAAACTGTTTTTAGGGATTGACACCAGAACAGCTGAGGAAACGAGAGAAATTTCTACGAAACCGACAACAGAAAATCGAGGAAGATAAAATGAAAAAGGAAGCGCTTTTGGAGAAGAAGCGAAGGTTGGTTTCAAGAATTTCTCAGGCATATTTGTATTCAAATTGTGCCACAAACCACTTGGAACCTTTTTCAAAATGGTCGAAACACATTTCTTTCATCAAAACAATGACTTTCTGCTGATAAAACAAAAAATGTTGAAAATGATGGTCTGTAGGCAACCACCAACAAGTGTGTCAAGCCACTTCAAACGTTCTGAAAATTGTCGAAAAAGGTTTACGACAATTTTTTCGAACTGTCATTGAAAAATGAACAATCATTGAAAAAATTCGTTTCGACTGATAAAAACATGGTTTGGAAAATTGTGGTCAAATTGGAAGGTGGGTGGAGGGGGGGGGGGGATGCATTGGGCAAAGGCAATCTTAGGGTCAACAAAGGGGAGACCACAGCAAATTTTTGAAGTCTGATTAGTATAGGTAATCGCATGGGGTCGAGTAAAATTAAGGTTTAATTTCACGTGTGTTTTCAATCATAGAGGGCAAAATTTATTTGTATGTTTATTGTGAATTTGTCAAATTCTTGAACCTTGTATGTCTCCATGTCTTCGCCTATGTTCCTTAATGCCCTCTATATATATATGATTAGTTGCCTAAAACTGTTGCCTTGATTGAAATTTTTTTTTCGACCAATTTCATTTGGTATAAAAATGTTTCATGAGGATTCGTTTTGTTTGTGTTTACAGAAAGGAGGAGAAAATGAGAGATATCCAGCTTCGTCGCGAGCAAGAGGAACAAAGCCGCCAAGCGAGTCTACAGGAGAAACGAGAACAAGCTGAGCATGCCCGACAAGAGAGACAGAAATATGAAATGAAACGAAAGGAACATTTAGCTCAAACAAACTTCAGTAATGGAACATTAGGGGCTAATTCTGGTTATCCCAGGATAGCGATGAACACTCAGGGTATGGATAGGGTACCTGGTGGTAATATTGGATATAACAAGACAGGAATGGATACTCAGTGTGTTGATGGGATAGCTGGGGGTAATGGACGATATGGAAGGTCTAGTGTAAAGACGCCAACGAGTGCAGGAAATGCATTTGAAGTACATGGACCCACACAGTCGACTACACCTTCAGCCTTTTCAGGTTTCACAGGTAGGTGAAGAAGTTCATTAACAAGATCACGATCGGGTTGTATCCGTGCAACTTGCAGTGGTCTAATCAGGCTCTGAAATTTGCAGTATCCCAATATCCACAGGATACTAAAATTTGGTTTTGGACACCAAACTGTGCATGGTTTATATCCCAACTGGATACTAAGAAAATTTCAAACATTAGGAAAATGTTAAGCACCTCTGACAGTCTCCTGACAGCTTTTGAATACTATCAGCTTGCCATCAGTCAAAGTTAGCAACATTTGGTATGCAATACAATGTGTTTATATTGTTACGTAGTGTGTCCATAGTTTCGTATCGTTTTTGTCGTTTGATTATCTCTTGTAAAGTATAGGTCTCTAATATACTATAATATTGTAGTAATTTAATGTCATAATGTATGCATGTAACTTTTTGTAGCATAGAATAGCCACAATGTGGAAATGCTATTAAATCATTATTATTTTTTATTATTATTATCAGTCTTTCCTCATTGAGGACTAGCGTGTATGGAAGTTTGTAGCCCGCGTGCAAGGCCCACTTGAAGAATAATGGGCTAAGAAGTTTGTTGAAGATTATGCACATTTTAGTGTATTAATGAATTGTCTAGTTGTTGTCAAGTCTCCTGTTTTTATTGTAATTTGTAACAGTAGAATTATTTGGATGGGACAGGGTACAATACTTGTGGTATTCAGTGTCCAGAAGTGGGATACTGGATTCTCAGGGGGAATACTAAAATTTTGAATCGTGGTATTCCAGATGGATACTTAGAAAAAAATTAAAATTCAGAAACTGGTCTAATATATAATTTTACATATACAGCAAGAACAGTTTTTCCAGTTTGATTTCCTCTCAGCAAAAGTCACAGGATTTTTCTCGTTCTGCAGTTTGCCACCTACAGATCATGTAATAACATTGTATGGACATTCTAATAATGGATGACCTTCTACATGATTAATTTATGTTCCAATTTTGCAGGTGTACAGTCGTACGTCAAGCCAAGTGGTAAAACGAATCGAAAATTAATAATCAATGCTATATCGTATGTTTGCCTCCCTGGAGCTGTTAATAAAGACACCAAAGAAAAGTGTTTGCAGGTATGACAATCTCTGTGCGCATGTAGATTTCTGGAATGTAGAGGCTTACATATACTTTGAATCTTTGAATCATCCCATAAAGTCACCCTAGGTCACCCTAGGGATGCCTGTGGTCCCCCTTTGCAGTCTACAAAATTATTTTAAAACTTGTTTTTATGAGTCGAAACTAACTGTTTTGATGAGAAAAATGGTTTTCGACAATTTTCAGAAAGTTTGGGGTGTGTTGGGGCACTTTTTGAATTTTTCAAAAATGTCCTGTAGTCCTCCCTTTGCAGTTGGGCAAAAAATTGAAAACATGTTTTATGCCTCGCGTAATAAATATATCTTTTCCATACAGGGCATGACAGAGTCCAGTGCCCAACATTTTCTTATCCTGTTCAAAGAAGGTTTCAAATTCCGTGCTCTTTATTCACTTGACTTAGAAAGTAATCAGGTATGTTAAGCACTATTTAAACTAACTTTATTCGACTAGATTCAGTAGATTGCTGTATCAGTTCTAAACTGTACTCCCTACTGATTGTGCAGCAAGGATGATTCCTTATTGATCCAGGATTACTAAAGGAGGAAACGTTAAATAAACTTTATTTATACTGGATAGCTTTAGCAGTTCTTAATTGTTCTCCTTGGAGATTTTTGTATGGCCCATCTTTTATTGGTCCAATTTTACTACACGTGGAAACCTAAACGGTACTCTAATTTATTATATAGAGAGGGAGATACTGAAAAATACACAGTGAGGTATTTTCCATATCTTCACTAGTGAAGATATCGATCACGTGACTTTTTCCAATTTGCTTTTGAGCGTGGCGTTTTCCAATTTGCTTTTGCTTGGGACTATATAATAAACAAGAACATTACACGATGGCTTGAAGATAGGACTTTTATCTTCTCCTGTTAAAAACAATATTTTACTCACTCGCTGCGCTTGTTCGTAAAATATTGTTTTCACCACTCGAAGATAGAAGTCATATCTTCGCGCCGCCGTGTAATATCCTCTATTTAATATTCTGGATTGCTCTATCAGTTCTAAACTGTTTTCCCTTCTTAGAACACGCTTGATGCTAATCTTGTCATATTCTTTTTAGGTATTAAAGGTTTATGGCATAGGTCCTCGCTCAGTGACAGAAAAAATGATTGAACAATTATACAAGTAAGAATTTTTTTATCTTAAACGGTCGTCTAACTATTTACTTCATATATCGCCAGTTGGGCCTGGATTTTTTTTAAAAAGTTATAGGCATGTTCCTTTTTTTTCCGAAAATGTTTTGTTCCCCCAGCCCTTTCCAATAATCTGGCCCTAAAACACTCGCATCACAGTTATGACCAGAATGTTCCATTGTCTTTTCATTGTTTTCGGAATCCCACTGTTCTCCATGCCATGCAGTCATGATCCAGTGATCAAAATGTTCCATTCTCTTTTCATTGTTTTGAAAATCCCACTGTTCTTCATGCCATCCAGTGATCAGAATGTTCCATTGTTTTGAAAATCCCACTGTTCTCCATGCCATCCAGTCATGATCCAGTGATCAGAATGTTCCATTGTCTTTTCATTGTTTTCAAAATCCCATGATCCAGTGATCAGAATGTTCCATTGTCTTTTCATTATTTTGAAACCACTGTTCTTCATGCCATCCAGTGATCAGAATGTTCCATTGTCTTTTCATTGTTTGAAAAATCTCACTGTTCTCCATGCCATCCAGTCATGATCCAGTGATCAAAATGTTCCATTGCCTTTTCATTATTTTGAAACCACTGTTCTTCATGCCATCCAGTGATCAGAATGTTCCATTGTCTTTTCATTGTTTTGAAAATCCCACTGTTCTCCATGCCATCCAGTCATATGATCCAGTGATCAGAATGTTCCATTGTCTTTTCATTGTTTTGAAAATCCCACTGTTCTCCATGCCATCCAGTCATGATCCAGTGATCAGAATGTTCCATTGTCTTTTCATTGTTTTCAAAATCCCATGATCCAGTGATCAGAATGTTCCATTGTCTTTTCATTATTTTGAAACCACTGTTCTTCATGCCATCCAGTGATCAGAATGTTCCATTGTCTTTTCATTGTTTTCAAAATCCCACTGTTCTCCCTGCCATCCAGTCATGATCCAGTGATCAAAATTTTCCATTCTCTTTTCATTGTTTTGAAAATCCCACTGTCCTCCATGCCATCCAGTCATATGATCCAGTGATCAGAATGTTCCATTGTCTTTTCATTGTTTTGAAAATCCCACTGTTCTCCATGCCATCCAGTCATATGATCCAGTGATCAGAATGTTCCATTGTCTTTTCATTGTTTTGAAAATCCCACTGTTCTCCATGCCATCCAGTCATATGATTCAGTGATCAGAATGTTCCATTGTCTTTTCATTGTTTGAAAAATCTCACTGTTCTCCATGCCATCCAGTCATGATCCAGTGATCAGAATGTTCCAATGTCTTTTCATTGTTTTGAAAAATCTCACTGTTCTCCATGCCATCCAGTCATGATCCAGTGATCAGAATGTTCCATTGTCTTTTCATTGTTTGAAAAATCTCACTGTTCTCCATGCCATCCAGTCATGATCCAGTGATCAAAATGTTCCATTGTCTTTTCATTGTTTTGAAAATCCCATTGTTCTCCACGTCATCCAGTCATGATCCAGTGATCAGAATTTTCCATTCTCTTTTCATTGTTTTCAAAATCTCACTGTTTTCCATGCCATCCATCCAATCGTTCGTTCGTTTGACGTATATTTTACATATTCGATACAAAAGCTAAACTTGTCTGCCATTTTCAAGATACAACAGCGGAGGAAAGGAGTTCTCAAAGATTCCTGCAAAAGGCTTCTCCCTTTCAGTAGACGGATTTACGCTGCAGAAAAGCTGTTGGCAATCAAATAAACCTTCTGTCTCATCCAAAACGGCTTCGAACTTTAAACAGTCGACACATAGAACAGCAAGGTGACACAAGCTGTATAATTGTGTGTACATAAATTAGGCTCTAGGCATAATAGTAAACATTATTTCCTATGTTTAGTTCTCCATATAGTAAATATATAACTATTATATTATAGTTATACAGTGTGTATAAAAAAAGGAATCGAACTTCAGCGCGCTATTGTATCTGAATTACGATATTTTTTAATATTCGGAAAGACCAGGCTTTTAGCTGTTGAATGATTCGGACTTGTACTTATTTTTTCTCCATTGGGCATGAAAAACATGTCATTCAACAGCTAAAAGCCTGAACTTTCCGAATATGAAAAAATCTCGTTCATACGCAGAGTAATTCAGATACAATAACGCGCTGAAGTTCTGTATATTAAAAGTACTGTATATTAAAAAGGCAGAGATCACGCGTTTTGATAGTGTAAATATCAAAAGAGTTTGTTTAAATTAATATTTAATATACGTCTAACTATGGGTAGAGGTATTATAGTATTTTTTCATCTCAAATCATTAAGCTGCATGCGCCAAAATTCCCAAAAAGTGAAGGGTGTCCCCTAACTTTTCGTCATTTTTTCACGTGTACAAATTCTAGAAGTGGCAAAAGGGGCAACTCTTCGTCCATTTTTAGCCCCATTCACTTATCAAAAAGCAGCCAAAAATGGCTAAAAAGTTAAGGTTAACACCTTAACGTTTTGCCCATTTTTAGCGACTTTTCATTTGTAAAAAAGGGGCAAAAAAGGGTATAATGTTAACCCTTTACTTTTCGTCCAATTGTTTGCCTCTTTTGTACTTTTAAAAGATGGCAAAAAAGGTAAGGTGTACCCTTAGTTTTCGTCAATTTTCAGCCTTTTTGCATTTTTGAAAAAGGTGCTAAAATGGTTAGGGTTAACCCCTTAACTTTTCGTCCATTTTTTGCCCTGGTGGGCAGTAATAGATCCTGATGATACTCGGGTTACAGGCAGACCTGCAGCAACCATTTAGTATGACAACAGCCATATTACTAAATTCTGAAATCGTGCCTTGTGCATAATTAGGGTAAGGCCGATTGGGATTAGAAGAAGGGTCATGCTAGGATTCAGTTTGAATTATCGTACTGGGAATAAGAAAATTGGAAAATTGCGGAAAAGTCCCACGAAAGCAACTACAACGTATTTGTCCGGAAAAATTTTTTACCTGAAAAAAAAATTATTGTTCGAAAATTTTTTTCCGGAAAATTTTTTTGCAATAGGGCCCCTAAAAAAATTTTGCCCCGGGCCCCCGCCAAGCTCTGGGCGGCCCTGACTGAATTTGAATATTTCTGCTCGAGCCGCCTCGAGGCTTCGAAATGTAGAGAGTTAATACTGCAAGGAAACTTCGCTTTTATGAAACGTTTATGAAATAAAATCGGTGTGTCATGCAGAGGGAAAGGTCAGTATTAAATTTAGCTATTTTTTAAACGTTTTTGAGTTGTTCTTGTTAAGTTATTGCTGTTTTTTAAAACACGTGTCTACATTCATTGTAGTACTATTGAATTTGATTCTCATTCAAGCGCTTCGTTTCAGCGCTGAGTCGCTTTATTTTCTCAGTGTCTCTCCCTAATTTCCTAGCAGCAATGTTCAGAAATACCCCAGCTTTGATTTACTTAACTCATATTTGGTTTATCTGCAATTTCAGGGCGAAAATTTGAAGAGAAAGTGAACTAATTTAAGTCGCCGACATGGTCGAAATGCCGAAGCACTTGGTAAGCATAATGTCGATTAAAGGCGTTTCCTTCTTGTTTGTTTCTCGTTTTCAAGCATCCCCAATACACGTAGAACGTCTTCTAGCATTGCTTTGTAGTCTTATGAACACTCCGAGTCAAGTTTAGTTACAATATTGGCAAAACTTTTCCCAATACCGAACGAATTGCAGACTTATTTTAGGCATGTTCAATTTCGCATGCAGGCATATATTTTCGAACATTTTAGCTTTTACAAACTTGTCGTTTATGTACAAATTGTTCTGTGAGAGGGAAGGCTAAGCTTTTTGAGTTTCTTGGGGTTGTCTAAGTTGGATTTCATCCAAGATTTTTACGAAGTTTAGAGATGAAATGTCCTCGTGGTCATGGCCTAATTTTATGCATAGATGCAGGCATGCTTTAAAATTAAAATAAATTGAATTGGACAACCTTAAACGACATTAAATAACTCTTCGCCGTTTTGAAACTAAAAATTCATTGTCCAATTGTTTAGACTGCCTCAAAGTCGATCATTTCGATGGCAAACAGTACAGAAAGACCTCTGCACAGATTTGAATAATAAGCGCTCGCCTAGCAGTCGAAGAAAAACGCGAAAATCGAGAAGGCGAAGGACAAATGAGACCCGCCACCAGCTCCATTCCTTTGCGAACTCACAGCATTCATCGTCAGATTTCGTCTACAGTACAAAGTCAGGAGATTGCCACTCATCCAGAGACTGTAACAAAGGCGTATAATAACATACTCGAACTGTCTGTTGAGAGAAATTCAACTGCCTGAAAATACAAGTAAACTTATACCATAGTCTGGCAGTGACGGAACGCTCGAGAGCAGACACACCCATCCTCATCAGATTTCGTTCAATCAGCCAATTGTGAATGAGATGCATGGACCTGCGAAGCGACAGTCGACGCCGTACCATCCAGAGACCCTAACCAATACGCCATACCATCGTGAAAGATGCTGTACATTACAAAAGGTATATTTTCCTCATGATTCTCGTTGTGCGTGTTCGAAAGTACGTGGGGGCCCACCCTGAGGACGCCCAAATGCACAAAACAAATTTAAATATGGCACCTTTTCCTTAATTTTGCAATTTATTCAAATTTTTCACATGTCTTGGTATTTGTGAAAAGCTCTTAACGTAATCGAAATGTTTGAAATTCGGAAGGTTCTATCTGGGAGTTTGTTTATTTGAAAGATATTTGAAATGAAATTTTGAAGTTTACATCACTTTGGTGTTTGGTTTAAACGCTAGGTAAAATCATGCCAGATGAGTGGTTGATCATTCGTTGAAGTTCGGTGATGCTTCGGCTCGGACTTTCCCGACCTACATGTCGAGTTGTTCTGTTCGATTGTCGTGATCAACTAGCGCAAATGTAAGCTAGGTCTGGCCAACATCGCGGAAAAACGTCTGCGCATGCGTCAACCTTACCTGTAATAGTATTGCGAACTTGATGAGAAGCTGTTCCGAACGTTTCCGAAGGCTCAAAATGGCGGTAAAAAGGAGTGACTTCATTGTGCGTCTTTACAACCAGATTTCAAGCACAAAAATAAACATGTCATTCTAAAAACTAGAAATAAATACAGCCAGAAGGTTCAAGAAATTGTATTGTACAAGAACATGAACTAAAGGTGATTGTTGACAAATTTATCGTCTGAAGCATTTTGTTTATCAACTAAGCAATGACAATTTCCGAATTTTCGTTTGAGATACATTTCTTTAAAAAAAACTGTGTCGCCAAATATAAAAAATTTTCGTGTTCACAATAATTAAACTTTAGGATTTATTCTACAATTTGAGTGGGTTAAAATCGTGTCCGTTAAAATCAACATTTTTTTACAAGAATTATATTTCATTCCATACTTTAAATGCCAGGACGCTTTCAATTAATGTCTAGTCTACCCATTTGCTATATTTTCTCGTTTGTTTTACCAATTTTTGACCAATTAATAAGCATGTTTTTGTTTTAGAAATTGATATTCAAATTCCCCGCCATATTTTCATAATTTGGTGCATGCACAGACGTTTTTCTGCGGTGTTGGTCTGGCCAACCTTGCGTTTGTGCTTTTTGTTCGTGGCATGAGATTGGGACAGCTCGCCTGTAGGCCTGGAAAGATCAAGCCAAAGTACCACCAAACTTTGATTTGTGGCCGGCTTTTTGTCTGTATGGCGTTATCCAGCGTTTTCCCGTTATCATTTTGATGTAGACTTTGGGATTTTGGCTTGAATATCTTTAATATAAACATTCTTTGAGGTTTAATCTTTCAAGAATTTCATGGTTTTTGACTGGTTAATGTGTTTCTTGCAGATGCTATTGATTAATAATTGTATTAAAAATATTTACCAAAAAAATTAAAACTGACCAAAACGTCATTTGAGGTGTCTGATGGGAGGGCCAATGGGAGTCGTAACAGATACCAATGGATAAATAAGGATTACTGTGACACTGTGTACTTTTGGAAATATTGTGAACATTTATGGATAATTTTGAACATTAACGGATTACAACGAACATTTATGGATTATTATGAACATGTGTGGATAAAATGTACCTCGCGATCGACGGTTACCTACCAATGTACCTTGACAACGAAAGCTGCACGACAGCAACGAGATGACTGCCTCAAGGTTAGAGGGTTTAGTCTGATAACAAGCAGTAGTTGGCTTGTTATCAGACAGTAGTTAGCCTGCTATCAGGCAGTAGTTAGCCTGCTAACAGGCAGTATATCTGTAGGATTCATACCCAGGACTCTAATTTGCATGTGTTCGGTGAAGTCTCTGGGATAAACCGGTTAAAATTCCTGGCGGTCTGTCATTAGTAGTACATTTGCACACAAGGTTGACTTTTATTCAGATGTTTGCATGCCAATAAAAATGAGGTACAATTTTGAACTCAGTCAATTAGAATTTCGACATTATCTGCAATCGAAAGTCAATCTTAAGAGATTATAAACATTTGAGCTTCCGGTCACGTGGTTCTTTGCATGCACTCGGTTCGGTTATTAGTGGGTTTCAGTAAGAGTTGCAGCCTACATGATGTCATGAATATCAGAAATGTTGACATTCGCTGGAGCAATTTATTTTGTTTCAAATACAAGGCTACTACATAAAATAAAAAAGAGTGAACATTATTTTTTCACTCTGGTAACACGTACTGAGACCCACTAGCTATTTGCGGTCTGTTCGTGCCAATGTTCTTCTCCTTGTGTAAATGTACTGCTTAGGTGTCTGTGCATGGATAAACGCAGCGCGCAGCTAGTATCCAGACTATAGGCAGACAAGTAAAACCTTGCCAGGCTTAAAATTTTTGTTTATATTGATATGTTATGTTCATAAATGTACAGGAATATCATGAAATATGTTAGGCTTTGGCTTGGGGTTAAATCTAACCCTATAACCTTAACCTTAACCTTAATCCATTACATGATCTGTATATTTGTGTACGTAATATATGGGTGTAGCCAAAATTTTATTGAAAAGGTGGCATAGTTTTCCTTCGGTAGGATAACTAAACTGGGTGCAAATGGTATCCATAGCTTAGAGGGTGCAAATGGTACCCGTAAGAAGATTGGTGGATATCGTGGTGGATTGTTTGGAAGAGATACTACTGGTGGATATTAGCTTAGGACTGTAACATAATTGTTGTAAAGATAAATAGTCTAGGCTTTACTAAAGATAATAAATTTGCGGATTTCGTTGCCCGTAGTGCATGTATATCGCTGGTTTCGAACGTTAGTTTTCTGCTCCGAGTTATATGAAAACAGTTCGCTACCAGAGATTAGGTTCCCTCTCTGTTATGGCGGCTCGACGATAGAAGAAATTAACATAAGGCATGCTAACCTTACCCCTGTTTGTGGAAGCTCATCAGGTGCAACCGGCACACTAGGTTAAGTTAAGCTAGGGGCATGACCGAGACTCCACATTCGGGGGTTTCCCTTGCAGGTTTTTGAAAGGTTATATGCGCGCGCGCACTAGTTAGGAAGGTTAGGCAGATAGAAATAGGGCGTTTTTGCTTCTCTTTGCATGTATACTATAAGGCATGTATACTATGATTCATTATCGTCATACTTTTGCGCCAGTAACTTTCTGTGAAGTATTTAAAACAACAGGAAAATGGAATCTGTTTTCCTGCTGAAAAATACTTACAGAACCAATTCAAAGTGGAAAAAAAGAAATATTGCGAAGAGAAAAATAAACTGAAAAAGAAAACCGCGAAGCCACTTTGAATATAAGCAACAATAGTCCAAGAATACTCGTTGCAGAAAAAAACAACAAAAAAGAAACAATTTTCTGCCTAAAATATCTTGGATTAGGAGCTTAATGATAAGAAACGTAGTTCTCGCTCCAAAGTGGAGAATAGGCTCGTTTCTTTAGGTTGCTAATGCATTGCGCGCGCGCGCTTTATAAATTGTACTATACGTTTTCAGTTGAAAAGACCGCCAGGGAAAATTGGGTGTTTTCATGTGTTGCTTTGTTGACGGACAAGTTTTCAAAATGATGGTTTTCTTGTTTCCTTGTATTTCGACACTTTAACTTGTTCCCAAACATAGCCGCCGTGAAAACACTCTGCAGATCAAGTTTATATATGGTCGCAATAGCGATATAGAATGTTTGCCATGTTGCATTCCGTGTTGTCTTGCATTGGTCATACATAAACTTCGTCGAACCATGGATCATAAAAACACCATGGTCGTGCGCAGCTAATTAACATAAGCGGCGCGCGCGTGCTGCTGTAATGCGGAGTACAGTCAGTGAGTGTACTCCGTGTGCTGAATAGTGACGTGAGCTCTATATACAGGGCGTATCAAAAAAAGCGCAATCCTCGACTGAAATGTAAATTGCTAAACAAATAATAGACGAAAACGTTAAAGTTTACATTCATTTTAAAGCGTAGCCATTCAGCTTTCTAACAGTGGGTTGTTTCTTAAATTTGACTAATTGGTTCGCGGGTAATAATACTTTACGTTATTGCGATTGGAGATTAAAAAAATTGAGATGGAATAACAAATCGTTCTCATGAAAATAACTGATTTTTTCATTAAAACAAAAAATGTTGCATTTTAATAAATGGATTGTAACAATAAGTATAATTACGGCTTTTCTTCCACTATTTTTAACACAGTTTGAAACTTCAAATGCGATATAATTTTGGCTTGGACCATCTAAGCTGACTGACATCAGCTTGTTATAATTTCTGTTTACATTACATCGCAATTCGATGACACTCTGGCTCAGACACCAGAATGTTTTGACGATTTTTAGCATTCGTTTAGGATTTTCAAACAACCTGGTCTCTTTTAAAATACTTTTAATTTGTTCTTACGTGGTTTTCCAGATGTAGTGACGACAACATTAAAGTTTAAAGAAGAAAATTCTAACATTTAAACCGACTAAACAATAACATAGTAAACTTGCATAATTAAACAGCAACTAAAAATGATAGGTTTTACTAAATCTTTTCCTGTGCAATTATTACTAGCATTGGAGACAAGGATAATAGTTTGTTTGAAAGAGAAAAGAACAGGCTTTGAAGTAAGCCTAAAAGCGTTTAACTAGAAATAGTATTTCGAAAGTTATTAAGCACAAAAGATGAATTGCGTTTATTTTGATACACCCTGTAGTCTAGACTCGAAAAATAAATTAAGGTGCATCATGTTGATTAGAATAAGGTGCGCAAATTTTCATGCATATTAAAATCAAATGCGCTAAGTTGCAT